GGTCGGCTTCCGTACCGTTACAGAGCCCGAGCTGAGCGACATTGACGGCAGCGACGTCGCAAAACAGTTCATGATTGAGCTCGAAAAAGAACTGGACCTTTCTGTTGACGTGGGGCGTTCCCCCAGCTACCAGCTGAAACGTACCAGGTCCAAACTCACCTTCTGCAGTGGGTACAACGAGGGACCAGGCAACGCGCCGCTTCGCAGCCTTGTCCACCCTTGCAGACGAGCGGCGAGGAGACATTGGCGGGGGCAAACGAGCAGCCTCCCCCTTGTCCTTCTGGACCCTCTTGCGGCGCGGGGCATGTCAGGTTCGGGGCGCGCATTGACAGCAGCAATGAGAGCCTCCTGTTTCTCAGAGCTGATCTCTATGCGGCTTCTGTACTCGGCGGCGCGCGCATGGCATGCCGCTTGACACACCCGATGGTCGGACTTGGTCCTTCCCTTTGGGCGAGTCCTCGCCATGTTCCAATCACCTAACTGCGGCACAGAACAAGAAAAAGCAGACAATTACGACTGAAAGCTGAGTTGAGCCACGCAACCAGAAGGCTGGCGCTCTATTTGAAGACGTAGGCCTGCTTGAACTCAGTAACAAAGAAGTCACTCAAGAAAGTGACAATGACTGAAGTGCAGAAAGACGGCGGCGCAGAGATCTGATTGCGTCTGCTTCCTTCGAACAACATTTCATTAGCTCAGAATGATCAAGTAAGTAACCCCGAGTTGGGACCTTGTCAATTGGGCTCCCAACAAACAGATGCTAGCTGTTCAACATTGTGCGACGACCAGGCAAGCAGAGACGGTAGCTTTTTTGACCTCCTAGCAGATCTGATTTGGTACACAGTCAAATGACCTTAATGATGCTCAATGCCGTAAACCGTGAGCTGCGCCCTCATGCCAAGCTCACATGCTCGGACAACGCTTGATGTGTGCCAGCTGTTCTTCATCTCGACGACATCCTCAAAGTCTGCCTGCGCTATGTTGGCATTTGCGATGCAATTTGCAATATATTCCAGGACCAACCTTCCCGTTGTAATGATGTTGACAGGCGCCCCTGCTGATGGCTGTGCGCTGTTCGGCCGGAATCCTACAATGGATTGAAAAGAAGCCCAATCAATTTGGATATAAACCGAAGAGGCGTCATGCAAGCAATCCAGCCCTGTTTCTCCATACATTCTAAGTAAAACTCTTCTGCATTCAAAGTCTCTAAAATTATGCAACATCCTAAGCTGAAGCAATATGCCGGACTAGTATGCGTCAGAAAAGCTGCTGAACATTGTCAAAGGAAAGGTACATCTTACAGGCATCCAACAGTCAGTAAGCAATTTGGTGCGCAACAGGTTCTAGGCTACCGTGTAATGCTTCGCCTGATCTGGCAGGTTGTTGAATTGAGAGATTGATGAAAATAGAATGTTTCATTCTGAGGACAACTCAGCAGGCTGATGCACTGGCTCCTTGCAAGAGAACGATGTTTCAGTAAAGTTCCAAGTCACAGGTTAACAAACAGGGAAGCAGAATTTGTGATATTTGAACCAGCATCATTCAAGAAAGCACTGAAAGCCCACTGGACTAGCCTGAAATGATCAAGCAGACAATTCCGAAAGCTCCTCATGTCAAGACTGCAAGCAGCCTGAGTACTTCCTCGCAAGCTACTTCCACCTGCTAATGCAAAAACCCGCTCTGCCCTCTTTCGCATGCATGCGAAAAAACGAACCCCCACATCTTAACATGTCACACACGCTTTACCTACCTGCATGTCACCAGAGCATGTCACCAACCAGAGCACCCCATAAATAAGCGCCCTCAGGCTTAACACACACAAACTGATGTCCGTGAAGATCTTCTGCTTTCCACTTGAAGAGCGCACCGGCAAAGGAGAGCAGTGAAAAAGGTATAGAGAGCAAAGGCGCTTACCACAGGTTCTGGTGCGCGCTCCTCTCTTTTCCAAAGTCGAGGCCCTTGATGCTCCTTCCAATTGCTAAGCTTCTTCCAGAACCATATCAAGAAATGGACCCACAATTTCCCCAAAAAACAGGGCACTTCAGAAAGGGTAAGACCTGCCGCAGGACGCCGCAAGGCGCCATTGCGCGCCACTGCCACCTGTCCCTAAACCACCTTCAGATTGCTGCTGAGTCAGATTGCTCCAAGCCACCACACGAACTTCTGCCTGCCAGCACACTACGAGAGCCAACTTGCTGCTACGATTGAAACTAGGAGTTTCCACTGGCAAGGCGGAAAGGGAGGGAGTGCCCTGGGATTTTCAGGTTTTAGGGCCTACCACAAACCAGATCAAGGAGACAAGTGGCGCCGGGAATGCCAGCTGGCTCTGCCCACAGCCCACAGTGCAGTGCACACCTGACCTGGGTACCTGCTTGGGCTGAAGGCACCATTACCATAGACTTGCCGCCGAGGGAGGGCCAGAGTTCGGTAATGGCTGTGGCCAGTCCCTTATGGCACCTATTCCCGGAAGGTCCAGGCCCGGGGCCGGACTGGGTTAGTGAAAATGCAACATGAAATCGAGACCTACCGGTATCTGCCGGAGCGGGGCGACGTCCAACCATTGTCGCTTCAGCCTGCGCCAAGGTCGCAGGACCATGTGGCCCACGTGGAATGACGTCTAGCACAGGACTCGGCGACTCGGGATTTGGTCCGCGGTGCAGCATGGGCTGCCGGCCAGTGCAGGTCATTCGTTCAGGAGTCTAGCTTGACTTCCAAAGAGTCATTCAGCAGCAGTCACCAGCTGGCTGCCTCGATCAGCTGCGCTTTCTGAAGAGCGTCCTCATCTCCTGCAACAAGCGCCGGTAGCGTCTGCTTCACGTTTGCTGTGCACAGCTTGCCGAATAAACTGGCAACGAACAACGATTTCTGGGTCCATTTGACATCAAGCGAAGAGCTAGGATCCAGGAAACATTGTGGTACTGAGCATCACCGTTCAATATTACAGAATCTTTTTCTGCATTCATTTTTTCTTGATCAGCTGAGCTGCGCGCATTCGGAATGCTCCTCAGATCTCAATTCAAATATCAAATTCCAGTGGGATTAAGGCATCGTCGTTTTGAGTTGCTGTGCTAGTGGCTCTTTCTTCAGCGAGTTGAAAGATCGATGGGTGAAAACCTCAAGTCTAAAGGCTACGAAGAGCCCATCCATCCCTCTGCAGATCGATGTGACATCGATTGTTAACTGCGCGCTTGTCTGACGACAATCGATTGGAGGTGCTAGGCCAGCTTCTTGGGTTGTGGTAGCCGCATTGTCCATTACTCATTGCTACATTGCAACAAGCTTGTCAGCAGCACTCGACCCCGGATTGAAGCTAGACAGCATTATGTGGACACTTCCCATCGGCGCCGGTTAGGAAGCAAACAAAGAAGGGTCAGGAGTTAGCATGGTGCTAGACCCTGCCCACATTTTTGTCCAGATATTCCACTCTATGGAAGCCACAACTGGTGTTCATTGAGTAGGATATTAGCGGGATTTCTGGTCACTTTTGCAAGGATGGACAACAGATCCGTTGGATTGAGTCCCAAGAAAGATGCAGCGGAGAATGAGAGGTTTGTGCCTTATCACGAGGCGCCATTTGGCGAGAGGCTGATGACGCGGGGCAACCTGAGGCTGATGCTCAGTGCTGGGGCGACACTCACTCTGGCAATCATGGGAAGGTACAGGCCTCTGTGCAGATCCCCTCTATGTGAAACAGTGACATCCCTGAGCTCCGGACTGCTCGATTGTGACCATTTCCCACTTATCCACATCCGTAGAAATGATGACACCAGGCCAGACAGTGCGCTGTGATGTCTGACAATGTGCTTGGTGTGTCTTTGTTCTGCCCTTGCTGTCTTGGACCATCTTATGACATGGACATAGGAGACGCCTGGTTGCCCGCAAATAAGGCCCTTGGACAGCCTGCACGCTGCACTTTGTTGGGTGTTCACATCGTTTCATGATACATGGTTACATGACGACAGACTCTTGCGAGTTTTTTTGTGAAAGGGAGGAAATGAGTATCACATTTCTCACAAGAAGAACGTGATCTTGCTACGTTTTGAAGTGTTCAGCTCGTGGAACCTTCTCATTTTGCAAACAAAGAAGAAGCCTGAACATATCTTAATTTGATTTTGCACACAGAAACAATGCTCTCTTGAGTGTAGCTGCGACCTCTGCCTCCCATTTCTCATTTCCTTCACGGTTGGCACAACACCGGCCTGCGCCATTCTTACCTTCTTGCCCCCTTGTCAACACCCTTATCCTGGCTACCACCACCAACACAGAAGACCACAAGCACATTCATATTTTCCTTGTCCAGCGCCGTCCTCCCCGTGTCGTCCGCGTTTGCGAGCACGGGCATCATCTGCTCCGTCCTGCTCATGGTGGTGGTCGCTCTCGCCAACTCGTACACGAGCGACATGCTGCTGCGCCAGGCGTACGTGGCAGAGAAGACCGACTACGAGGACCTCGCATATGCAGTCGGGGGGGAGCTCTGGAGGGTGGGGCCATTTCTAAAGATCAGCTTTGAGGGTTTTGGTCAGGGCTTTAGTACGGCTAGATTTGATGGCCCAGCTGCTTGTGAAACGCACCTCTGCAGTTGTTTCGGGTGATTCTATCGGCTGGCATGCTTCCAAGGCCGTAAGTTGGGGTTTTCCATCTTGTACGATGTTGTTGGGACGGTTCCAAAGCAGTCCGTTCACTTGAGCAGTGAGGACGAAGGGAAAAGACTTTCGGCTGGCCGTGTTGAACCCGGTGGACCACCCACTTTTAATTCGCAAACAATCGAAGCAGAGAGCAACTGATATCTTACCAGGTTATTGAAAGTCTTGTTCACTTATTTTGTTGCACCACTGTTGCTCCTTTTCCAGGTTGTCACTCAGCTGTCTATCATCGTTCTGATGATGGGGACCTTAGTTGGTGGGATCGAGCAAGTGGGCCAGGTAAGCCAGTACAAGCCAACTGGTTCTTGAGTTCTCTAGGCCCCAAATCACCCGGTCACTGTTCCGCAAGAATAGCGTCCAAGAAGCTATTTGATCCGTTCGCAAGCACAGCTCGCAATAGTAAGTGCGGAAACTCCAACCAAAGGTAGCTTCTAGCAAGTATTTTTTGACACTGAACCCCCAACAGTCAACGAGAAGCACACAAAGTCAGGACGAAACCTTGAAGTAGCCCCGTCGGATGCATGAGAGAGGTGTGAATTCTCTCAGAGCATGATCCCCTTACTCCCGCCCGGCTTACCGCTTGATAGTTGTCACGTCACTCCCTCGTTCGTCGCGTGCAGGCCGGCTCTACTGCTCTGACCAACTTCGGGGGAGACTCCATCCCCACGTGGTTGACCGACGACGGCAAGGGCCGCTTCATTATGGCGGCCACAGTGCTCGTGGTGGTCTTTCCGCTGTGCCTCATCAAACAGCTCCGCCAGGTGGGCGCTGCTCTGCTTTTCATTTACTTTGCACGCACTTGAGATCGCAATGCTTTGCTAGAACCACCCCCTCTCGTCCTGCCCTTCTTTGCGCTGTTATGCGATATCTGTTTCGATGCCGTGCCTTGGGAAACGGCGTCGGAAATTCCACTCAAGTCCGTACTCGCCAAGCCGTGAGATAGGCTGCGAGCATCCACAGCAGTCAAAGGAGGGGCTTGACAACGTCTTGGCCGATCAGCAGGTCTTGTGACCCTGTCTTAAAAGCATTAACCCTTCGTGGGTGACCCTGTCTTAAAAGCATTAACCCTTCGTGGGTTCTTATTTCGTGCAAGGCCACCCTCTCGAAGGGAACGCTTACCGAATCCGGTTTCCTTTCCAGTCACTCAAACCAGCTTCGAAAGAGGCTTCGTTTCGAGGTCTTCCGGCCCTGAAACTTCCGAAGAGACTGCGAGCCCGTGCTTCTGACATTCTGTTGCGCCTTTTGTATTTCAGCTCGAGTACGTGGGCTGGGCCGGTGTCGCGATCGTCATCTGGCTCATGATTGCGGTCATGGTTGACTCGATCTCGGCTGGCCTCCCCGCGGTGGGCAACGATCTGCCGGTAGTGGGCTTCATCAGCCTCAGTGAGTGTAGCCCCGGCCGCTTCTTCTCCCCCTAAAACTGGACGCTGGAAGGAAGAGCGATACAATAAGCCGTGAGTGCAGAGGCAAATGCAAATCGGTGACATAACAGTGCGTTGCCGTCCTGGTGAAGCCGACGCTCTTGATAAAACCTCGGCACTAGAAAGTAGGACAAGGGACGGGCTGTCCGGTTTTTTGTGAACGTGAACACGGCAAGGTCGACGAAGAGGCGGGGAACGTCGTTGAGGTACTGCGGGCATGTAAAATCCAGACATGCTACCAGTCGTTCGAAAGGAATCGACCGCGGTCAGCCCGTTCGGGTCAGCGGTCACAAGGACGGCTCTCCAATCCGGCGCTGAGTTTGCTCGTCATTTATGCAATACAACAGCAAAACTGTTATGAATCTTCGCGGTTCTGCTCTCTTAAAGCGCCACGTGACCCATTCCTGCAGGCGCCGTGTGCGGGGCCGTTTCTACATTCGGCTTCGCGTTCTACATCCAACCCGTTCTGATGCCCATGATCGCCGAGATGCCTCGGGGCAAGTACGGCGTCAAGATGCTGGGCTGGTCGAACCGCTTTGTGGTGCTCGGTGAGTGACCCCGAGACGTCTAGAAGAAAGTGCTGCAACTCTGCAGGAAACGGGTTGAACAGGGTGGCTTCGAATAAGCACTTGCGTTCAAGGACTTCAACCTCAGTCCAGGTCATGGGGTCCGCCGCAAACGTCGTTGCTTATGCATCTTGTCTCTTGTCTAAAGCAGAGCCTCTCTGCTCCGAAGTGCCCAGAACGAGCTCGTCGCCGGTTGTTCTGCACTGATTGTCGACGCTGCAGAGCCGTTCGTGACCCTGAATTACGGCGATCCCCTTCTCCTCGACTTCTCGTTTCTTTGCTGGATCCGAACGTCACATTTCTTGCCGTTCCCCCGCAGTGAACGCCTTTGTGACCTACTTCATTCTGGGCTTCTTCGGCGCGGCTCGGTACGGCGCAGACACCGAGGGCAACATTCTGCAGAACGCATGGATCGGGGGGGGCGTCTGGCAAGGCCTGCTCAACGTCGCCATGTGCTGTAAGCCCGCCAAGTCTGTCTTGCACCGTCCGCCCTTCTGCGGTTGCTGGGCACCTCTGACAAGAGCCGCTGTATGTAGCGGACTCCACTGCATGAGTCCGCCAAAATGCGTCTGCTTTACGCATCAATCTTACCGGGGCAGTATACGAAGAGACGTGCAAGTACCACAGAAGCCGACTAAGAGTACGAGGACTTTTTGTGAACATGACATCCAGGCACTAGTGCATCTTTCTATGCCAATGTCTGCGAGGTTTTGATGCGTATATGGTCGAGCTTAGCGTGCTGAAAGACAACGAACGACCTGCTGGTGGCGTCGTACTCCTTTTCCATAAGCCGTCTTCTTGAAGACATCAGAAGCAGGAGCGAGGACAGCCGTTGGCAAACCTCTCACACTAACAAAAGCGTGCCGCTTCCCAACCTAGACATAGCTTTTTCTTGCCGTTTTAACACCCTGAAAAAGTCCCCCTTTTGATCGCGGTGACTTTTTCCCTCTGATCTCTCGCAATCCGTTCCAATCTATGACTTGCTTCTGTTCCCCCCATTTCAAACCCTGGATTGAAGAAAGGGCAACGAGAGCAAAATTGGGCCATCAAGCACGCGGGGCTTCTCCGATGCTCTCCGTGATTGGCTATATGCTGACGGACCGCTCTCATCCCCATTCTCATAGTGTACCTGGCGGTGTCCCTCCCCCCAATCGAGTTCCCGACGCGCCACACGCTCGACATCTGGCTGGTCAAACTGCTGACCGCGGTGGGCGTTGAGGACGCGGCCCACCGGTTCCGCTGGGGGCGACACCTCACTCTGACGACGCTTATCTTGGGCGTCGCCCTGGGCATCTCGGAGGCGATCCCCGATAACTCGGCCAAGGTGCTGCTCGTGACCGGGGCCACTGGAGTGTGCATGGTGTCGTACGTCATCCCCGTGGGGAACCACCTCATGCTCTACTTCGGAGTGTAAGTCCCGGCTCCTCTAGTTGGTTTTGGGTCCTTCAGGGCAGCGCGTTTCGTCGTTTCTCTTGTCCCGTGCTTACGAGGAATCTGCGGGGAACCAGTCGGTCAGCTTCATATAGCGACGTATTTGAACCTTGCAATCAGCTCTGCTCGGCAAAGGAACTCGGAAAAAGAGGTTGATCTTGATGAACAAGACTAGTGGCTGTTTCCGCGCTCGATGAACCAAAAGATTCTCCGCAAAAGAAGTCATTTAAGGAACTCGATGTGGGACACCTATTCTTCCTTTTGGGTTCTGTAACAAGAACGGCGCTTACCACTCGAGATGCACTGCAGCTTGTTTCTGCCGCAAGGGCGTTCCGCTGCAAACAAGGGGCTTCTCTCCATGGCAATATTAATCCTCGATGACATCCAAAGCAGTTATTGGCTAAGTGAATTGGGGTGTGCTGATCTTTTGGGACAGCTTTCAAAGAGGCCCCTCTTGATTTTAGGCCCCACTGCCGCTATCCGTGCCTGATCGCATCGAGAGCGTGTGCTTGCAGTGCCCGGTGTCAGCGCCGGCTCAAGGCAGAGCTGATGCGGAACTTGTCCCTGCACGGGGGAGACGTCTCCGTGCACTCGCAGGTGGGCTCAAACGTCCGATTGCTTTTTTAAGATGCTCCGCCCGCCCGATTCCGCGGCTCCAGCATCGGCTCACAAATCGGTATTGTAGGTGTTGGCATTGTGCTGGCTTTCCAGCACGGTTGCATAAGCGTCCAATCCCGTACATCCAGACGTACATAGAAAAGGTTTGCTTCCTATGCTGGCCCTTCGGCACACGAAGGAACGAGACTTTCTTGTTAGGCGTCTCGAGAGGAAGGTTTATGAGCGGCTTCTGTGCCAGGCGTCAGTAGGACGAGGAGAAAGCGTGTATCACACATCGATCCGCCTCACGATTCGCAAAGTGATGTACTATGAGACACTGAGAGTCATAAGACGAGGACTATTCTCCAGAATCTGCTTGCAAGACAAAACATAACCTTCTTAAGAGGACCGCGAGAACCCGTTCGCTTTCGTCAGCAGATTCTCGCAAATAGTCGTGTGGCAGAGCAAGCTCTCCTTCTGCTGCAAATGTTCCATTTTTGATGGCGCTGAGGCGGTTCCTTCCTAATGAGTCGCTCGATTGCACCTTCCCATCAAACCCAAATTTCGGGGTAGGTCAAGATCTTCTCTATAACGAAGTCAAACACCTTGTCCAGTAATCAAAACCCCCCCTCCGCTTTGCCCTCCCCCAGTACCGCGGCCACGTCCTGCTCAAGGAGCTCCAGAACCTGGCCGTGCCTCTGAAAGACGCGCTCCCCCCCCTGGGCCCCAACTCCGAAAATGGCCCCCCCAACGTGCTCGAGTACCGCAAAGAGCCCAGTTACCCCGGGGTGTTTGGGACGTTGTACGAGGCAGTCACGCAAGTGGGCGCCCCGCTTCTAGTTCTCGCCGTCGGGGTCTTCTGCAGCGTCGCCGCGCTAACAACCATCAACACACTGTAAAATGAGCAACTGGTCTTGTGGTAAACTCGGTAATCCAGTGCCAGCGCTTTCGGTCCTCTGCTTAGTATCATGAGCGCGCACAGATTTACCGGATCAGCGCAATCAAACCTCTGCTTGGTGGAAAGAGGCGCGCTTTCGACAGCCGAGTATGTATATGTGACAATAAATGTAGGTCAGCATGACTCTCACTTAAGTTAGCTCCTTGCATGTAAGCGTCAAAGGGGCGTAGAATTCTGTAAGAGGCACACGAATCCACAACATTGCAAGCAGGGGTTGCAGCGAAAACCTCGCGCCCTTGGCTACAGCCTGCTCTAGCTGTCTAAACCGTCAGCTTCATGCAGTCGTCAAAAGGGGACAGGAACGTATATACAATTTTAGCTTAAGCTTATCAAATAGTATACAGGCTTTGATTTGGTCAAGCGCGTGTTGACAACTAGCAACTGAGGGACTATTACACAAGCATATGCGCAGAAGTATATGGTATGCCCTCAACGGTTCCATGCATCCTATGATTGGTAATTTGTTCATATATACATACAGATCGATCCATTCCAATTTGAGTGACCGTCAGCTAGGTGTGATTCTGAATTAATAACAAATGCATCGTCATGGTCACCCGGTGACCCCGGCCACCCACTTGCCAAAGTAACCGGCCGTGCTGGTTACGACTGCATGGAAGTTGCCGATTGGTGGCATGAAGGAGGGAGCGGAGACTCGAGCTAGCAATCATTCTAGCTTTGCAGAAAACAGTGAGCGTACGCGGGTCTGATATACGGTATCCTGAGGATGGCCGCCCGTTTGTCAGCGTAGTCACTTTCAGAGTTCCGACAAGGGGCTTTTTACATGAGCATGAGTGGGGAAGATGTCCCGAAGATGACTCGTAGGAACTTGACATCACGGATCTTATGTAACTCACTAGCTGGGCAAGAAGTTCCAAGGTTCCTGCCAGCGCTCGCCGAGAGTCCATTTACAAGCATGACAAAAATATATACCGGGATGCAGTGCGCCGGCCAATAAAAGAAGCCTCCAAATGTCTTGTATTTAAAGAAGTGTCTCAGTCAAGCCTAATAGCGGATTATGTAAGCGACAGCGAATGCATTATATCTAGCGGTCCTCTATCTCGAGGCAACCAAAATCGAACTTTGGTACTAACAAAGGAGTCCTAGTGACTGCTAGCACACTACAGCAGCACATCGAAAAAGTGTGTTTGACTACAGCGTCTGCTAAACAAGGCGCCGAGCCTACTTGTAAAGAAAACACTCGAGTGCAAGACTCGACGGGCACCATACTCCAGTTCCAATCCAGCAGACGTTTTCCTAGATTAACACGCTAGAGCTGGAATTTGTTCGGCCTAGTGGCCCGAGATGGTTTAGTACACGATTGTAACCCCAATCACACTTCACGACGTCGTACTTACAGGTTCCTGACGGACCGAGACTCACAGATTCCAGCGTGAGACACAGTTCCACCCAAGTTTGTCTTGACAGCACTTCACAGCGTATTTACCTTGCTTATAATCACAGCCTACTGATTAGGGCTTGTAGTACGATTCAAGAGCCACCTTTTGACACTCCTCCGCCGGCTATTCTTGGGGAGCGTCAAAAGGCAACGCCTGGACGGTAGCTTCGCTTCACAGCGGGGAACAGCCAGCCCGCGTCTAGCAACAATACTCGGCGGGCACGCAGCACCCAATAACCTGATTGACGCAACCCGGGCACTGTTGTGCCCGAAAGTTGCTGCCAGTTTCGGGGCTGTTGCAAGGGAACTGGCCCACCGGGTCCGTGAGGCATCGAACTGGAAGATAGAGCACATGATTGGGTTTGGGTTGGCATCAGGGTTGGAGATAGGATAGGAGCGGGATATAGGAGCCTGGAAAGCTCAAACAGCGGCGACTGCTGCCGGTGTTTTAAGTCACAAATTGCAAGGCAAGCTTAAACAGGGGCGCGTTGCAAATACAGCAGACTGCCACAAGGAATTAGAGGACTGCAGGAGACTGGCCGATGCAGTGGGTCCACAGGTGAGCAACCCTCCTTATTCTGAGACACAGTACTGGCAGATCAGAGAGCCGTAATTGGGACGGTTGTCCTTGTCTGAACGAACCGAAGCAGCTTGAACTTATCAGGGTTGTTCGCGAGCTTGGAAACCGGCGTGAAGGGGTTTTCTAGCCACTTGATTTGGCGGTGAGCTTCAATCAGTCCGTGTAGTTAGCGTGATGAGGGCATCCGGTAAATAAGAGTAAAACTTCAGTGCAACACCAGAGTAGACTGCGTGTCAAGAATGAAAGGGTGCATGAAGGTGTCCGTCTTGCTCACTGCAAGTGGTCCTCTCGAGGTTGGTGCCTTGTTCAATGTTGCACTTGCGGCAGGCCCTGGACCCCGAGTTGGGAGCGATGCTCAGATCCGGGCATGCCTTGCAGACAGAAGTCCTGGGGGATCCCCCTGCGGAGTAAGTCCCGGGGCCGCAGATGGTGCAGTCAGGGCCCGCATGACCGGGCGCACATGAACAGCTGGCGGCGCCCGCTTTGCTTATGAAGCCGGGGGCGCAGGGCTGGCAGGTCGTACTAGCGGGGGGGACCCCCCCGGCGAGAATGTGTTTGCGGTGCACACGTCGCAGTTGCTGCCGCCGGTGCCGGGGGGGCAGACGCAACCTGGGACAAGGAAGAGAGGAAAATCAATATCTAGAGAAATGCGAGGAGATCGGATGCAGGTTTTCAATCTGCAGGAGCTAATTAGCTGGTGAGAAAGAAGTGGCCTGCAATGCCGTTGCACACTGAGTCTGCAAGGCATTCCTCTGCAAGACCTGTCCCGCCTGCCAAAAGCAGCTGGCAATGCGTCATTGATGTTGGTTGTGTAGTGTAATGATCGACAGGTGCTTTCTGGTGATTCTTTTTGGTGAATGGGAAAAGAACCAACACAGCTCAAGCACGTTCTCTGCCTGACAAAAGGAGACGCACCAGTTACGAAGCAACCATCTGTTCGACAACGGTTCAGGACTGATACGGCGTCCAGCCTTTGCCTATTTTATCCTTGCAATCTCAAGCACTCTGCAAAGAAGCTTGACTACTTCGGGAGTTTCTAGAGGTTGTTTTGGGAACGAAGAAAGTCTGAACGAGCCAGCACGAGTCACTTTTTAGCTCTAGCACTCCCAGCATGCAAAGTCACATGCCCCTAGCTTCCTGCGGAGCGGGTATGTAGGCCAAACAATTCAACATACTGCGACAAGCAGATGGAGCCTTCTGCTGAGAAATATCATAACAGCACTCCACCTGACGCAGCGCTGAGCTCGGGCTCTCTGCAGCATGTCATAATTGAGAGTCGGGGGTTTTGGGGCCACTCACCAGCTTGCACCGCAAGCAGCGTTCTGGAGACATGGTCAGCAAGCTCCTGGTCGAGGTCTGCTTCAAAGAAACCGCTGGCGTCCGGAAGGCTGGCTGCGCCGGAGGCGTCCAGCTGGTCGCCCTGCACCAGGCGTGCGGATGCGTGGCCCACTCCCAGGAGGACCGCGGAGATGACGAGAAGCACAAAAGCGGAGCGGTTCAAAGTGTTGGACGCCATTTGAGAGAGCTGGTGTAGGGAAGGGAGCTAGGGAGGAGGTCGGATTGGTGAGGCTGTGCGGTGAAGGGTAATTGTTCAAATGCTGGGAACTGAAAGCGGTATATATACTCCAACGACGAGGCGGATCTTGGGCTCAACTTTGTGTGAGTTTGCCTCCACACCTGATCCGCCGGGGCATGCCGTCGCCCGGCATCCCTGTCACACGTTGGAAGTGATCATGATGCATTATGCATAACCACCCATCTCCTCAGAATTCCAAGCTGGAGGGAAATATGAAATATATAGGTATATTATCACATATATATATATTGAGTGTTGATCTGCATCTATGTACGTATTTACCAATGTCCGGCCATTTTCTCAAGAGATCCGGTCTTGCAGACCGGAGCTGAGGAGCTCCAAGTCCAAACTCAGCCCGGCAGCTAAGTCGACTGCTGAGCTCTCGCGGGCGCCCAGAATTCTGTGGTTACGAGTCAATTAATGGCCAAACTACTTTTCCGTTCCCTGAACATTTCAAAAAGAAAAGACTTCGAAAAGCTGAGTGACGTGGTCGGGAAAACGTTCGTTTTCCGACGCCTTGAATCCACGTTTGAGGCCGGCCGAGAAGTGGGTGATTGAGCCCGGCCCTTCAAGGGCGCCCCCGGATCCCAAGGCCGTTGGTCCCGGGCCGGGCCTATCGTGACCCCTGCTTCAATTTGCCGGCCAGAGTATATATATGTAGCGGATCCGGTGGCTCGCAGAGCTCATGAGAATCAAACTTTTCCCCTTGAACTTGGGAGCTTATTGATCCAATTGTTGAAACGCGTATGCAATGTTGGATAACCACGCATCATACATCAAGTCCTCGACCGAGGGTCTTCCGAGGAAGCTTCGAGGACTCTCGACTGCTATTAACGAGTTATCGCTTATAACCTCAAGTGCATTATACATAAGCGAGCCTGCAGCTACGCCGAGTAACTACGATCGCCGCCGATCGGCGAGCTGAGCTGGAGGTACGGTACGTAACGGTAGTATGGCATTTACTCTTGGCAGTATTGCATGATGCACCGCGGGTAAGCTAGGTCTTTAGCCTCGTGCCCTGCACTGTGCAGCCTGCCAGTTACCTAGACACCTAAACGTGCAGTCCACCTTCTTGTTAGAATATCGCCAGCCTAGCTACTGAAACAGTAGCCAGGTACAGTCAGCAGTCTTCTGACCGTACGATGTTGATAACACTGACTTCGACCGTCGATATGACAAGCAGAGGGGGGCGCGTATGCAATGTTGGATAAACCACGCATCATGCATCAAGTCTTCGACCGAGGGTCTTCCGAGGAAGCTTCGAGGACTCTCGACTGCTAAACGAGTTCTCGCCAGGGGTTCTAGCAGATTTTTCCCGCTTAATTATAATCTCAAGTGCATAATACATAAGCGAGCCTGCAGCTACGCCGAGTAACTACGATCGGCGAGCTGAGCTGGAGGTACGGTACTAGGTACTAGGTAGTAGGTAGTATGGCAATAATTACTCCTGGCAGTAATGCATGATGCACCGCGGGTAAGCTAGGCCCGTCTTTAGCCTCGTGCCCTAGTTGCCTAGACACCTAAACGTGTCCACCTTCTTGTTAGAATATCGGCAGTCTAGTTACTGAAACAGCAGCTAGGTACAGTCAGGTTTAAGGTCACTGGTGCAAGAGGCACAAAGCTGCTGAATAAATTTTGGTAGAAGCGGACGCGGTACTCGACGGTTCGGACGCTGTCGGACACTCAAACCTGGTCGGGTAGCCTTCAAGCACACTAAAACCCTAAGACCAATGGCTTTGCCGTTAGTGGTAACCCTAATCGTAGAGCAGTCGAAGGAAAAAGATGTAACCCTAACAAACTGTCACAGGGAAGGGGCGTAACCCTAACACACAGTCAGTGCTTTGTGACTTGACCCTAAGGCTAGTACGAGTGCCCGGTTGAAGTCGTGGTACTAGGTCCGTCCTCGTACGGATTCTCCGCAGTGCGTACCGTTTAGTCGATCGACGGTCTCGATCGTCCGTCTCCAACTCTACCAAACTTTATTCGGGAACTTTGTCCCTTTTGCGTCACTGGTGCGTGTCGAACTTCCCTAATTCGGAGATTCAAATTCCTATTGCCCGTATTTGAGAATTATGAAGACGTCTTCGTTCATATCTCGAGCTTCGCTTCATCTTTTTGAGATTCGTCTTTTGCATGAGCAAGGACACATGAGATTCTATCTATAGAGCTCTAGTCGGCAGACATGAGGTACTCTGACTACATGCCACGACATGCTCAAAACATGCTTTTTGGGGCGTTTTGAAGCAGCGGGCACGTTTACGTATCGGCACCCGGGGACCGTCTGACCAAAATTTTTGGAATGAGCAAGGGGGGAACTTGTCGTTCTACCAGTAAAGACTTGTTTGGAACATTCCCCAACAAACTTTGACTGAGGAATTTTCGATGGGCACCATCACTTTTGGACAGAAGCGCAAAAACCTGTGAAATCGGCGCTCCGCCGAGA